TTCCTCCTCGCGTGTATACATAGCATCGTAAATGTTTAGCGGGAGATGGCCGGGTTTTGATGAGGCAAACGCCAGATTACAATCAGAGTAACGCCATTATCGGTATTCGAGGCGAGGTGGTGTAGTAAGATTGAGGTGGAGGACTCGCGTGAGAATGATAGGCCCGAAATAGACGAGAAGTCGTCGATTTTAGATGCGCTTGTGATTGCCTTCGACTTCGATTTGGATGCGATTCTTCTTGGCTAGCCCAGATATGTAGAACATGCTGAGTCATTATACAGGCACCACTGGAAGGTGGAGAATTCGTCTTTGCCGGCGGAGACATGCGCCTGAAGTTAGATAGCTTTACCACAGTGCCAACTGGCCTAATAGGGTATAATAACAGAACTATGGAGCCGAAGCCTATCTAAGTATCTAGTTTAGACTTGTGAGCTCATTCAGAGCGTCACATCTAGCACATCTTGGGATCTTGCTTCAGCGGAGAGAATTCATGCATCTCATAGCTGGATGCGTGCCACAAACTCATGCGTGAGAGCACAACTACAAGTCTGACTGGAACGGAATCACGATTTGATATAGCCGATTTTCTCGTTTAATTTTTAAACTTTTACTTCTTTTTTTTTTGCATCAGATTTTAATTGCGTATGCAGCTATCCAGCTATGACACAATATCAAAGAAAAGTACAGAATAGATGATTCAACATAAGGGAAGAGCACTCATGCCTCAGATTTCATTTGCAAGTACAACTTTTACTTCATTCAATAACATCGGTAAATCATGAGATTTTTCAGGAGTACGACATTCATGTGTACTATGGTTTTCGAGAGCAGGATGCGAAGATCCTTACTTTACTTGCATTGTTGAGTCTGGGTAGGCGACGACACGTCTGACACTTTTGTGGCTTCAAGTCTCGTATCTACTATATAAAATGTGTCGTATAACGACCGCTTGCAATTGTTACTCGAAGTAAGACTTTCAATGAAGTACATTTTTTCTTTTTGTCTATTCCCTACTTCTAGCTACAAGTGTTATGTCTAAGAATGGGCGAGACTCTAAGTGACGGGACACGGGACCCACACTTTTACTTCGACTGGGCCAACCGGTGCGTGAGGAGCTCGCGTGCTATGCGCTGGCATGAAATGGATTAGATTGGATTTTATTATAGTCCTAACGGGGTCAATGAGTGTGGAGGACTTCGAGAATCTACATGAAAGAAACTACCTATTTTTAGTTTATTTAACAAGGTTACCACTACAAAGTATGCAACGAAAATGCTTGAAGCTTGTTACTAGGGCATCTAACTCCACCAGCAGTAGAGTACTTGATCACGAATGCTCAATCCTTCCACTGGAAATCTACCCCAAACCAAGAAGGGCTCAACATATTGGGCTCTCAGTAGGACAACTTACCAAGGTCACGATTCTATCCGCATGTAGTAAAATATCGCAGGCTTATAGTGTTGGAAATATCGTGCGATGGGATGGGCGCAATATTCATGGAACGAAAGTAGAAGTTGACCAAAAGAGTGTCATGTTCGGATTAAAGATAAAAGTGTGGGAGATGTGCGCTACAAGTACAAGTGTAGGAGTGCAAGACTGAACACCTGTACGCGGTGTCCTCTACGAACCTGGGAGTGAAATATTCTCCCAGAGCCAAGTTCAGTCAAATTTCGCAATATCAAAGAAATTGGCCCACGACGCAAAAATTCAAATTACTCCACCATGTCAATATTTCACTCCCAAAGAGTCTGATTCTCAAAAAAGCTTCATCAAGTCTACAAGTACGACCTAGTACATCCTCGTGTCAATGACCACACCTCTCGTCGACTTTCTCTGGCCTCAGCCGGTCACCAAATACACGCCCACGCCGATATTTACACCCGCAGGAGGAAGCAAAGCGTGGCGCACAAATCTGGGAGACAGTTCTTTGGGATGGACGTGAGAGGGATCAGGACAAGTTCACAAAACGGTGCCGAGGATGGATACAGCCTCGACGGGCGTGAAATTTCGATGTTTGGCAAGAAGCTTTACAAATTGAGCTTTGTGCGCGCCAAGACTTCGCTTGCGAGAGTGCAGCTGACACTATAAACACAAGCCAACGATGGAAGGTGTTGTGGTCCGCCTCCTGGTGGTGTTCTCCGGTATAGTTTGAGTAGCCTGGGCACCTACTCCACTTGGGAAAGAGACATTTCAGATTAAATTTCGCGCGGAGAAAAGTTGATGGATGATGGAGGCATGTCTGGATAACCCAGGGGTTTTGAGACGTTCCCCCGGGTGGGTATTCACGGATGAGGGTTGACTTGGGATGAAGAAAAAGCCGGCATAACTTCGCAGTAGTACCTGCAAATGAAATCCGAGGCATGAGTGCTCTTCCTTTACGTTGAATCTTCTGTAGTATAATTTTCTTTGATTTTGTGTCATAGCTAAATAGATGCATACGCAGTTAAAATCTGATGCAAAAAAAAAACGCTAGCACAGGGTATACGCAATCTCCGTTCGCCAAATACGGGGCGGTCAGAACTAATTATTATCAAGCCCAATGGCATCAGCAGAGTGAATTCCAATACAGAATTAATGGAAGACTCAACAACTAAACCCTTTATCAATCACTTCCATTAAGCACCACCTGACTTATCTCTGTACTCCATATTTTCAACCACTCTGATCATTTTCATAGCTACATTGTTGCGAACTGTAGTTATTAACCATATCCAAACGGGGGACTATTCTCAACACCTGTCAGTGGTGTCCCCTCCAAACCCCAGCTCTCACTGTGGACTCTACAGAGCCGAGATTGAGTGACAAATTCCTCTCTTCGATGAGGATTCCCAATTTCTTTCGCCATCTGTATCGCCTTCAGCTCTCAACATATCCCCCTATCACCATTTATATAAAGCTAACCACAATCAGATCAGATGTCAGGGTCGAAGCCCTTCTCGTCACTAACCCTTCATCATGGAGGAAAAGCCATCCAATGAGTTTCTGGAGCGTATTTAGCACCCGATACGGAGATGGTGGATTGGATCAAGTCGGCCTCGACTGTTACAAAGAAGGAAGATATAGATGGATATGCGCACCTCATGTAGCCCCGGTGTCTAGGCCTCGCCTGGCTGGGGCAACAGTTTTTTTAAGAATTTTTCCCGCGCACGCAGTTTCCATTGCTACCTTTTATTTATTTTTTTTCTGAGAAGAAGGATCCGGGGAAAAGGTGGTTGAATTTCACTGGTAAATACTGAGCTGAATGGCAATTCATCAAGGGCAACATATCAATGATCTTTCAAGAAACATGAGAGGCAAGGAGCACTCTACAAAGTGTGGCCTGGGTCAGAGAGTAGCTTAATGTGTTAGATGATGATGGTGAAAATTCATTCGTGACGGGCACAAGCCCTGCACTCAAGAAGCATGACACGGAGAAGACTAGCTTCTCCGGCGACTATATACAACAATAACTCAGTTTGTCATTGGGACCACTCCTGTAGTGGGTGCATTCGCTGATACCAATCGAGACCTTGGTGCTGGTAACTTTCACTCTTCCCTCAACCGCTAATATCCAACGAAGGAAAAACAGGAAAAACCTTTGGCTACCCTAACATGCCTTTGTCATCTTGTATACAGCCGCCGCGCGAGATATGGCCTCACAGTCCTCCCTTTCTCGAGTGAGGTAGGTGTGCAGGCCACCCAGATTTTAATTCGGGGAGATGAGGACCAGGAGGCGGACCAAAACACCTTCCATCGTTGCCTGTTTTTAGAGTGTCGGTAGCACTATCCTAAATCGTTGCCTCTGCGCCCACTGACACTCGAAAAATGTGCGTCCTAGCATGCTCATTTGTGACCTCTTCACTCGTTCATCCCACGTCCCAGCTTCCTGTCCTCAATCAAGATGTGAAGCGCCATTAGGGCAACGGTTCCCCATAGACCAAGACCCGAGCTTTGTAGATTATGACTTGATTTCCTCCTCGCGGGTATACAAAGCGTCGTAAATGTGTAGTTGGAGATGGCCGGTATTTTATGAGGCAAAAGCCCGATTGAAATTGGAGTAACGCCATTATCGGTATTTGAGGCGAGGTGGTGTAGAAAAGTTGAGGCAGAGGACTCGCGTGAGAATGATAGGCCCGAAATTGACGATGAGTCGTCGCTTTTAGATGTGTTTGCGAGTGATTTCGACTTGGATTTGGATGCGATTCTTCTTGAACATCCCAGACATGCAGGGTATACTGAGCGATTACACCGGCACCACTGGAAGGTGAAGAATTCGTCTTTGCCGGCTTAATGTGTTAGATGATGATGATTTTATTTAACGTCCAAGTCGATAATCATATGCCTTAGAGCAAGTGATATCTATCCGGGGAAGGCTAGATCTATGTATTTTAAATGTGTCATAGCTAGATAGCTGAATACACCATGAATTTAAAAAAAAAAAAGATATCTATCCGTGCGGGACAAAGGACGCTAGCGCCGGATCTCTAGAGTTTAGGACTTAACTAAGTCTAATCTAAGGATACGAATTATAATGCTGTACTGCGTTATTTGAAACTGCAGACAGGAAAAAGTTAGGCTTTGAAACAGAATGAAATGCAACTCTTCCTCTAGTTCATGCTAAATAAATGGCTAGTTTTCCATGCCTTTCCTAATTTAATTCGGGGTTTCTAAATTTATAATGTTTTTGAATAGGTATGAATTGTTTTCCACATCGAGGACAAATGTTTCCAAAATAATCTGTAGCTGTGCCAGACACGCCAAATGTGTCCAAAAGTCACAGACTGAAGTAGTACAATAAACAAACACACGTGATGCCCGGGGCTCTGGAAGATTTGTAAGCAGTATCCTCACTTAACTAGTACTATTGATTATTACGCGCCACATACCCTGGACTATAGATGAACGCTAACAACAGAAAGCCTCCTCCACTTATCCAATCATTATTGAAAATTGTTAGCATGAGATTGTGAAGAGGATATTGTATATATCTACAAGCAACGAGGTGATCATTCACTGACAAAATGGACCCTCCGATCCTACCAGCATATTCTCTTAGAGTTCAGCTCTTCCTTTCAACAGCACATTCGCTAGGTGATAAGCCGGTTCGAAATTTCCGCGTAGTTACTTCACCAAAGATTACTGTGAGAAATTTTTGCGTAGAAGCATCCCGGATTCACGAAATTAATTACGGAGAGTGAGTCGAGCTTGGAATAGCTTGATATAGCCAATACTTACATACTTCTCAGACCTTTATCAATCAAAAAGGTGCAAGATGACCACGGATTTGACATAACACAATCTGAGATCCTCGGGAACCTTTTCTCTGCCTCATCTATAGTTCGAATTGTCCAGGCCCAAAAATACTTACACATGAGAGATTCAATACCACCTACCTCGGGGCTTCGGTTCAATCCTTCACTAGTCCGACGGAGAGAAAAAAGAGAGGACATAGGCGCAAATGGATCTACAGTCTTTTGGGGAGCAAATAAAAGGAGGAGGATTTCTTATAATGACCCAGATAACCCACTTCCCTCGCGTGAGGTTTCATTACCTGTCAGCCATGATAATACAGCTTCAGAGGATCTCGGAATGATTGATTCCCATAAGGTCTGTCAGGCCTCAATACAAATCTCTGAAACTCCAGAACCAGCACATGCATCGCAAGAAATAGACTTGAATTATTTACATGGGCATACACTTCATGAATCTGCTACGACATCTCATCATGATAATGAAATGTTTGAAAGACAATCGAGTCTTCCAACAATTGTCCCTAGCAAAAATTTCACACCTCTGTATGGAAAAGCAAACTGTCAGAAAGAACAAGCTACTCTGGGATGTCTTACGAGTAACGTAGCGGTAAGTCTTCCAGGATTAGAAGAACAATTGAGCCAAAATGGACACATGTTGGACACATCAAATAATCACACAAGAAACTCACAGCAGTACATTACCATGGAACTGGAAGTGGCTAATTCTAACGATGATATCTCTGCTTATAACAAGCCTCGGGGACTAGACATAGTTCAAGAAGTTATTCCATCAGTAGTGTCTCGAAATGAATTGTCTATAACGAAACATGGAAATGGATCCCTTGAAGATCAGGCTCAGAAATTATCCTCCAATAACCAGCTGTTATCTGATGAGATGAAGTCAACACTCAATGGAGAGATTATTGAAAGATCATCAAAAACAAAATCTGCACATGATACCAAAAATAGAAGATCAATCAAAGGTGACTTTCAAACACAGCAATCATCTGAAACTGTCCAAAAACATGCGTCCCAACTATGGAGAGCGCCGGAAATAGGGGGGTTAACCGAAAATGATAACCTTGAGAGAATAGAAAGAGATGTTTCCACAAAAAATCTAAATCAACAGGCAAGCCCTAATCTAGGTACTGAATTTGGTAAATTAGAAGAACAAAACTCAATGACACAAAAAATGGATAATAACTCTCACGCTGTCGATATTGGTCGACGGCAGCGAAAGAAAAGCATTACTAAACAAGAATTTGAAAAGCGGGTATCACAAGAAAAAACAAGTCCTACTAATGCCGAAAACCTAACCAACCTTGAAATGAACAAGAAAAAACTTCGGACCGCTAGATCTTCAGGTAGAAAATTGGAAAAGGAATCAAGGCAATCACCGCCTTCAACGCCGAATGTATCTCAAGTCAAGGATTCCTCACCTAATTTCTCAGAATCAAAATCTGAAACTATCTGCTCTGATAGTCAACTGGTAAACCTGGCTCTTCAAAATAGTGCTATAAAAAGTAGCTTCCCGGCTGTAATGTCACCTTCAAAATCCGTTCCTCAAAATGAAGTTTCAAGTACTTCTGCACCATCAAAAGGCCGTAGGATACCGTTTCAAAGGGGGGGAAATGATACATCTATTAAGCCTCCCAATCGAATTTTCTCTGATACATCAGCCCCCGTACAAACAGGAACGGTACTAAATACATACGATGAAGCTCCACCTGCATCCAAAGCTAGTCTAATTACTCAGAAGACATCAGTCACACCAAGTGAGCTTCAAAATTTGTCATCTGCATTTTATTACTAACAAATAATAGTCCTGCCACCAAAAAAAAAAACTAGCACAGCCACCAAAGTATCCAAAAAGATCGTGGGGAATAATGCAGCTCCAAACTCATCTTCTAGGACTACTTCCTCATCAAAGCCATGTCTATCCTCAAAAGTTACCCCAATAATACCACCCAAATCCAGGCACTCGATTATCAACTCTCTTAAAAAAGGTATACTAAATTTTTAGGTTAGACTTGTTTGAAAGACCTAGTGCTAAAGCTCTTTATTATCTCAACTGATATTTGAATAGAGAAAAATTCTACAAATTTCCAAATCAGGAAAAACGATAATGATAGATCCGAGAAAAGTCAAGCCGAAACATCAGCCAAAAGAATAAACGAAGGCTCACTTGCAAAGGCCAAAAATGATGATTTAAAATCTTTTACGACCCCTTCCAAAACTACCACCGACCAAAAAATTATACGGCACCCCAGAAAGCAGTCGCAAGTTTCTCAGCCGGATGGGTTTATAGATCAGACAGATGGGATTGAGAATGAAGAGAATCAGAGCCAGGATTCTGATGAGCGTGATAGTCGCTCCCCGGTCGCATTTCATTACACCTCGCAACTCCCGAAAACTCAACAATCTCCATCTTTATCCTCCGAATCTCAATTAGACATTGAGGATGATGAAGATACAGAATTTAAGAACGTTTCAGTAACTCCAAAAAAAGGTGAATCACGCCAACACGCTACTTGCTTTGAGAGTCGGGGAAGTAGAGATCCTGGTGAGAAGGAACTACATGTGAAACTCAACGCTCAAACAGTCAAACCAGCCAATGACAGCACACCTACTATCTCATCGAAAATAGAGATCCCAAACTCATCCCTTCCCTTAAATCAGAACCTCCTTCCGAAAGAAAGCGGTAGAAAAGCAATCAAATCATCTCAATATCCAAACAGTAAGTCTAGGTTTTAGATTGAACAATTATGATTCTTGATTGTTAGAAACGAATTAGATACTAACTATTCGCCATAAGATTTCACTAACCTATCAAACTCCGACACTGTTGAACCCCCATCTTCCTTGGAAGAGAGAAGACCTCTATTTGGGTTTGGTGCTAGTTTAAATGCTATGCATCGCAATGGTGGGATCATGGGGAAATTAAAATCAATATCAACAACGGAAAAGAAAGGCTCTTCAGTAATTCAAAATGATGCCGAAAGCTTCAGTGAAAGTGAAGCGTCCAACTCAGAATTAGATTCTACTATTTCTTCTGAACCTGGATACCAAACTCAGTCCAAACTGTTAGATAATTCTACAGCTGTTCTACAAGGCTCAGAGTCTGACTCGGATGATTCTAATGCTGAAGAAGAACGAGCCAAAGCCAAGGCAAAAGCTGATCTCCTAGCTAAAGTTAGAAGCTTAAACTCTAGCCAGAAGAGTGAAAGCGTACAAAATATCAGACGTTCCGGGCGAGTAAACGTCGGTGTCACAAATTATCAAAGTAATCAGCGAAAAAAGTAAAAGTTCCACCAAATAAATCAGACGACTAGTTGAGGGACTGATTTACTCTGAATTTTGTGTATTTTTGCTATACTGTTATGCAAGAGACATTGATATATAGACTGAACTATGAGGGAGAAGAGCCGGGTAAAATGTAATTTGCACTTCGAATGTTGGTTTGTTAATCAAAGATAAGATCAATCAGAGCTCCGAACCCCTTGCCTTTGGAATGTAGAATAGAAGTAGTAATGCGATGGAACTACGATTGATTCCGATGTGGACGTTAACATATTATTGCTTGTCTGATGGGTTCACTTCCCAGAAAAAATAACTTGTATCTCGTCAAGTGCCATTATAACTTAAATTCATAAATCAACACTACTCAACATCTGCGAAAGCAGCTCATAATATTTTAGTAAGCGCCTATCCCTAGAATTTTAGTTGTGCATTGACCTTTTCATGGCCCTGCACATCGTGTTAAGTATGACCCATTTCCTATTAAAAACACATAAATTTCACGTGCCGTCTGGATGTCGCTGAAGCCTGTCGAACAGAACGAAGCCAAATTTAAATCAGACTTGGTTATTACCTCATTTTATTCGATTGATTATCCCCAACCCATCAAAACTTGTTTCTTACCTTTGTTCATCTTCTTTTTGCCCTTAATCGAGTCTTCGTGGCCATCATCAGTTGCACCATCCCGCCCGCTGCTACTAGAGCCAGTTGCTCCGGCGCCGTTCCAGACATTATCAGATGTATGTCTCATATCTCTCCGTCCCAGAGCACTTGCGTGATTTCGATTGATACCTTGCAATTTAACTGCTCTTGGCAAGGCTGGAAAAGCATCAACTCCAAGCTGAGCACTATTGCCCCCATTCGATATTGGTCTACTGCTACTTGTCGTAGAATTTTGATTAGCCTTGGATGGAGATTTGTAGGTAGTGGCTGAAATTGATGCTGATTCTCCTGTTTTGGGGGGATTACTATTACTAATGTTTATGACATTTATGCGGTTGGCTGTGTGGGGAAGACTAGGAAAAGCGCTTGTAACAGTGTTTCTACTAGCACTGGAGACATCTACAGTAGTGCTACTAGCTAGCGATGCAGATCCCCAAGATCTATTTTGTGATGTAGGCGACTGGACTGATTTGGCAGTCGATTTCTTAAGTTTCATAGCTCGGTTCGAAGATGAGACTGTAACAGGCCCGGAAGACGTGTTACAGTTCTTGGAAGCCCAACTCAAAAGTGTGGAGCCTTCGCTCACTGCTGGTAAGCTAGGATAATCTTCATTTATCGCTCGCCAGTCGTTCCATGCCGTGCGTAACTCGTCTGATTTAGCAGAATCTTCAAATAAATCAGCTACTTCTCTGATAAGAGTGCCGAGAGAATTAGAGGGTATTTCGTCGAAAAGAGCTAGAAGTTCATCAACCAAAGCGCGGGCGCTAGATTTACTACCCTTGAATTTCGAGATAAGTTTCCGGAACAAGGTGACTTTTGAATCATCCATTTGAAGTAACAAAGAGGCTCGTTCAATAACAGATTTATGGCGCATAGCGCGGTTTTTCTCGTGTTGTGATAAGCTAGCCTGTGTCAAGTCAAGTGTCGGTAGTGTATCACCTGTTGCTAGGAAATTTGCAATCGAGCTTGATGATACTGTTGTTGTAGCTTGAGATTGTTGAGGTACCGACGCTGGTGTTCGACCTTGGACGTCTGTTAATTGGTGGCCAAAGCTCCTAGTCGTGCGTGACTGATCAGATAAAATACTCATTTGCCTCTGAAAAGCAAGTTCATCCCTTCGTAGAGGCTGAGCACTCGAATTTGGTATAGGAGCTGCATTAGGATCTCTTCCCAATCCCCTTGGCCTACTGTTTCTCTGTCCTCTCTGTGTTCCAGCTCCTCTTAGTTGCTGGTGATATGACTCCCGGTAGGAAAAGTCGGACAAGTCCACATTCCTCGCATCGCGCCGATCGTCTTTTGAAAGATAATCTCCATGAACTTCTAACATGTGAGCTTTTAATTCGAATTCAGAAACAAAAGCGATATATTTTTGGTCTAAACAATCTTTCATCTGGCAGACAAAGTGATCTTTGACAAAATGAGAGCTTAACGCTTCGTAGTTGGGATAGTATGAAGGAGGACTGTTTGGCTTCGCACGATCACAGACAAAGCATCTTTCGTGCTTCTCTCTCAAATGGGTAAAGAGTTCGTCATCACCATAGAAACGGTTTCCGCAAAAATTACACAGAGGGTGGCCCTTGAATCCGGATTGATTAACACGTCCAGGTGCCTCGTCGCCTTTTTTCATATGTTTAGATAACCCGGCATCGGTAAAGAGGTCATGTTCATGAGGAAATATCTTTCTATGTTTGGAGCAGAGGTCACAAATCTTTTTGTTGTGGGCTCTTCTGGTATGATCATGGAGATGCGGCCATGCCAGGCAAACAACATCACACTCTTTTTCTGGACAATTATAGCCCAGCATCCATAAAACATCATCTCTAATATTCAAATTATCAAAGCGTAGTCCAATATTATTTTCTATACTCTTAAAGTTTTCGTCGCTAAAATCCTCAAATCTTCTGTTTCGATCGTCGGTGATTATAACGTATGGTGCGGGAGTCTACCGTATATGAGCATCAAATTTGGCAAAGTAACTCATGGAACCGTATGTCTCCGCGACTTACCCTACAAAGAGTACAGGTCTCATCTTTAAAAAGAACTCTCATCCGAATACAGCACACATGACAAGTACGATGATTGCAGGGCCCAAGGCCCTCGTGGATTATCTCAGATGCGCATATGATACAAGTCTCAGGGTCGTTAGAAGACTCTTCAGACGATTCTTTGTTTATTATCTGAAAATTTGATGACCCAGAGGTTAAGTCGGTAGCAACTGACTTCGAGTCTCCCGACGTTGAGTTTAATATATGAGTTTTAGGTCTTTGTCCATTTTTGTTGTGGCGTATTCTTTTGCCTTTGTTCTGTTGTTTCCGCTCATGGCCCGCTGTCCTTTCAGTGCCTTTTTTTTCCTCATTGGCTGCCACTCTATTCGAAGATCTATCCATTAGCCCTGTTTTTAAATATGAGTATAATTTCCAACCAGATTATACAGCTACGCTAAAATAAATTTCTGTAAGTATCTCACTGGTAATCTTGTATCTCGTAAACTCTTCTTACAAATGACTCGCAACAAGTAGAAGTAAAAGGATAAGCGGCAATACGAATTTAATTAGATTGTATGGGGAACAAAATTTGAGTAATTTTCAGGGGATTTTGAATAGCTATTGGCTCGTAACAATGGTGCTAGACTTTTCATTAATTAGTATAGTTGTGTCGTGGGTGATTGATGTAATGAATCGGCCTTTGCGACGCAAGCGAATCCATCAAACCTTGCCGTGCCGGCTTCGTCGCACACGAAGGTAAGTCTTTGTTAGACATTCACAATAGCATTCAAACTCTACAAGCGATCATTTTGCAAAGCAGACTCACCTCTTTCTCTAACCCACCAACCTACCAATTCTACCCATTTTAATTAGATGTGGACGGCCTACATGTAATTTTCAGCTGGATCGCCCAAGATTTTAAACTTTTCGGAAATTTTCGATATTTGCATAACTTGGATTCATTGATTCCATTAATAAAACTTTTCGTTGTTCAGAAGCATTGTTAATGGAAGAGAGATAGTGTTGAATTTTTTACTGTAGATATAACAAGGTAGATTCTAAATCGTCGAATGATTGAAATAGCGAATCTGATAGTTATCTTGAACACCAACAGAGTCGTCTGCCATTTCATTGAGTCCAAACATAACATTAAAACTCAACGTATAGACCGTGAGGCGTGTACAAGAGGATTGAGTGTAGAATGTCAAACCCTCAACCATTTAGCTACCCTCATGCTCGCGGAGATAAATATAGAAAAAGCGCCAAAGTCACAACGTCAATGTTATAAATCGCACCGCATATGTGTGTTATTTATTGTGTTACTTGAGTCAATGACTATCTAGCACTCAGTCGCAACATAATCCTGGGCACTAAAAAACAAATCCATGCAGAAAAATCTAATTAATAATGCAACACATGTGAAGCATACAAAATTCTAGAACAATTGGCTTCACTGTCAAGAAAGTGTCATTGGATCTTTGTAATATGCAATAAATTATAATTATACAGAAGAAATTTCGGAGATTTTTCGAGCAGGAGATATGCTAAGGATACCGGCTCAGTGGTTTGAACTGTGCTTGTTGTTCGGATTTACGAAGCCCCATGCTATAGCTCTAAATACTTTGGTGTACCGGATCAGTTGAGATGACGGGGCTCACTGCATATAAGACCAATCAGCTCATATCACATGCCAATAAAGACGAATTCTTCACCTTCCCGTGGTGCCAGTGTAATCCCTCAACATGCTCTGCATATCTAGGATAGCCAAGAAGAATCGCATCCGAATCGAAGTCGAAAGCAAGCTCTAGCATATCTCCATTTGACTACTTCTCAACCATGCAGTACTCACCAATATCTTCTTAATCCTCAACCTCGATCCAACCACATATCATCTCGACTCGCCGACCGATAAAGAAGTTGCTCCAATTGCAAACAGGAGCTTGCCCCATTTATTTCCAGCCATCTCTCACTACATATTTACGACGCTACGTATACCCGCAAGGAGGAAATCAAGTCATAATATACAAAGTTGGGGTCTTGGTTCATGGGGGACTGTTGCTCTAATGAGACAAACAACTTGAAGTAGAACAGGCAGCTGAGATGTGGAGCGAGAGGGGGAACAGGTCTCTGAAAACCATGCTGAGACTGATATCATCAAAGGGATTTCAACTTTGAGATTTTTGTAGGCACCAAGACCAAGATTTCGGCTAATTAGCCAGGAGGACTTCTTTTGTCGATGTGTCAATGACACTAAATAACTTGGGCTAAGCTACTACACGGTAACCACGCTCTGTCAAGACTTTTCTGACATTTCAGCACGACCTTCGGGAAGGAGTTGGAAGGAGGCCAGAAAGGCAGAGGGTGAATTTCCCGAGGTACACACAAATCTGCAGCGCCCATCTGGCCGGTCTCTTCGAACGCTTCAGAAGGGGCACTATGTCTTCGGATTTAGTCCTTATGTCGGTATTAGGAGAGCCCCGTACCCAGTGGTTTTTGCGGTTTTTTCCGGCTGCCACACACCTGCAAATGGCCATCGTTTCGTTGGTTGGGTAGGGGAGACAATGAAGGGCAAAAGGCTCCTCTAAGTATATGATCGAATGAGGACTTGTGATGGGTGGTACTGTTGGAGGGGAGCTGTATGGGAGGCATAGGAGGAGATATACTACTGGTATAGGTATCCTTGGCCTGCAGGCAGAGATGTCCTATAAGTCTAACATAGTCATAGACGCGGAAAGGTCAATAAAATGAAATAGTAATAAAAACAACAACTCTCACTCTTTGGCATTGTTGTCTAGGGCACCCGATCAAGAAGAGCCAGAATTTCTCGAAAACTGGGGGAGTTCTAGCAGTTCTCGTGATAGTGAAGTTTCCCAAAATGCTGAAAGGACATGCATCATATTTCCGACTACATCTAAGGAGATGGCTCATGGATACAGCCATTCTACATATTATGAGACAGATGCAGTACAAGCGAAATGACATAATTATAACCCCGAGTATATTCCGACTACTCAAGCTGTCAGGCAACTGGGATCCTGACCTGTGACAGGCGAAGTGTAAGTAATTAAAGTATAAGATAACTCAGTAAAAAGAATTTAATTCCAATTTCTCCCGAAATTCTAGGACTATATACACTGATCATGATTGACTTGATCCCTTGATCTCTAATAAAGGCATGCACTTCGAATAGAATAACCTACGGTTGTAAATACAGAATGCAACCACTGGCCGAAACAAACAGCCCACGTACATACGTATGGACAGTCCCTATTTGTGACCCGAGACATTTCCCTATCCAACTTCTTCGGTGGTTATTTTTAGCCTTTGACACAAGTTCAAAAGCGCTTTCACAGAATCCTGAGTTGCACCAAAATACCAAGTGTATTAACAAGAAGCTCCACTTGGTTCAAAGTTACATAGCAAATATTCAAATGGATCTCAAATTTAATTAGAATAAAGAAGTGGCAGATGTAGCGGCTTGTGAGCCGATTGTTGTGTGTCACGTGATCTCGACCACGTGATTTTGTGATTCTACAGTAGTCTAGCTTTACTGCAAATCAGTTCAGCTGCAACTGGGATATTCTAGTAATTGGTAGCAAGACTAGGAACTAATGTGAGTGGAATGTGCGAGAAGCAGATATCAGCCAAGAATGAGTATTCTGTATATTTTCATAAATGTATAAATTGTTGAAGTAATGCTTGGGTAGTCTGCCTCAAAGATTATTAACTACCTTCGTAAATCTGATTGCTCCAGCATTGACACTCGAACCGTGACAGCTGCGGATGGTCTAACTAAACGTCACTCAGATCTTACACGAAAGGAATTTTATGTAATAGAATATGACTATTATAAATAAATGCGAAAGTCGTAGCCCGTAGATATCTAAGCGCTCGTCTCTTCCCAATGATGCACTCTGATTGGGCTAAACTCGGCATATAGTTATTCCGAGTTTCCGTACTCTTTGTAATTTCTATATAGCAATGAGAGCCTTGTCTCATTAGATTAGACATAACTTATAATTCACTACAAGCAGTACACTTCCCCTGACAATAAGAAATAGTTGATTTTGAAGGCAAGTAGTAGGTCTCGAGTAGATTAATTCACTATAATCAATTTTCTTGTTGAATTGTGTGTTGAGTCCAGCAATAAAGTGTTGATAACTACAAGCAAAGAGCAAGTGTGCAGCAAATTTTATGCATGTTGAAATTATGGAGTACAGAGAAAAGTCAGGTGATGGTTGATGGGAGTTATTGATGAAGGTTTTGGTTGTTGAATTTTCTGTTGTTTCCGTGTTGGGATACACTTTGTCGATTCTACTAGGCTCGGTATTTAGTAGGCCCGACCTACCGGTGTTTGGCGAACGAAGACTGCCTATACCATGTGCTAGATTTGTTTACTGCAGTTCATAGGAGATCCCGCGCGGGTTGCCTATTGAGATTAAAATGATTCTTAGTGAGTGTGTGTGTATTTATCTATTGTCTTATGATGTCTATGACTATGTAAGGACATGTAGGTCCTTCCTGCCTACAGGCCAGGAGTATCTTAAAAGGAGTCTGGTACCTGTTTTTAGAAGAGTACTCGAATAGACATCCTTTTATCCTTCATCATTGCATAAGCTTCCCTCTACCGACAAGTCCATGAACTAAGTAGTGGGTTATACTTTTCATATGTGTAAGCTTAATCTATCACAACACAATTTTAATTAATATCACCATGTTGAGTTTATCTCACCCGTGTGGAAGTCAACTAACACGGGACAAGCTGTGGATAAAACAAATGGATTCAGGGTATTGTTTTCTTTCTATCCACGTCGTATCCTTTCCATGGATTCCACTACAAGAGCTAGAAATTCAATAGCTACACCCACAAAAGTTAAGATCGTGCACCCCACTTGAAGATTTTGGGTGATGAGCTCTTGGAAAGACTGCATTCATACCAGTCGATAAGAACGCCAGGCATTTTCTCTCCTGGATTCGATAATCTTACTATGTAGTCACTTCCGTCGGTGGAAGGATCTACTTCTGGGTTGATTTTTCGACTTCTCTTCAGGTCCAGCTCAACGCCCAGCATCCTTTTTTTCACGAGACTTTCTCCCTTCCCGTACCTTTGAGTAACTAACATCAAAGCTCCATCTAATGGTCTTAATCTGTCTCTTCCCTTGAGTGTAGTCCCTATGAACCATGCACGCTTATTTCCACCGCATCCAATGAGTAGATGAGGTCTACCTAGATACCACACAAATGCTCGCGGCGTACGAGAGCCTTTGTAAATTGTTGATTGTTCTGGTAATACTAAATCTTCTACTGGTACATAGTGATCGACATTTATAGCCAAAGATGAAGGGGACGAATATGGTGCAAAGTAGCTATATTTTCCTTCTACTTTTACCTTTTCTTCAAAGGCTAGCGTTGCAATTGATCTTGCGGTACATTTGTTTGACTTCACCACATTCAAAAAACTTAGTGGCATCACTATATCAACTTCCTGGGCTTTATTTAGAAGATATTGGTGGCATTCTTGAACTGCAATAGCATCTTTGTCAAGATTAATGACTTGTTCATCTGTCAAGGGTGATGCTCCGCCCATAATTCTGGCCATCATATCAGCGTATGGCATATATGGAGCACTATAGACCGCGTGATGAGTTCCTGGAGAACGTGAGTCATCCATAGTCATAAAAATACCAGAGTCGTCTTCAGGTTTCGGGAATTCGGGATTGGAAAGTTTATAGACATCATTGTGATATGTACTCACGACATTACTTATCACATGTGTGTTGCTGAAGACAATACGACCAGGAGTGTTAGATAAGGTGCGTGGTATCAAGAGTAAGGCGTAGATGTAGACCATAGTGATAGCCTGCCGCTAGATATCTCGCACACTTGTAAGATTTATGTAGTTTTAATAGCAGAAATATTCCCGAGGAAAAGTTGAAATTTTACGTCGCTACTTGAGCGCAACTTTTAGGGTTGGGGATATTATAAGGAAATGGATAGATTGTTCTTTGCAGCTAATGATGGTGACATGAATTAAGATAATGATTGTGATTAAGATAGATTTCTATATATTTTATTATACATCATTTACTCAGGTTCATATACCTCGAGCCAAGAAACCAGATTATGCTGCTCCCGATTTAGATTCATCAGAATAATTGCTTACTCAGTAAAGTTCTCCTACTCTAAGCTGTGTGTTCAGGATCTTGACTAGGTTTCTAGTAACTAGTCATTGATGTTTCTCCTGTCATTGAGCCATAGTCATTGTTGATCCAACAAGTACAAACGATGAATCGTGTCCATACATGATAGATATTGACTTTGAACCAGAGGTCTAAAGTCACAGCAGAGATGCGTAGAAAAGTAAATAATGTGTATGAAAGTTTGATGTGGTGTAGATATTTTAACTGAGTATATGCGCTACGAAATTACATTGTGACTTGATAAATTATAGAGATCCTTTGAATTTGATTTCATTTAACCCGATTTGGCGCCCAATGGGCCCATGCAGGTGTCCACGAACTCTATTATTGATATAAGAGGAGAACTAGCAGTGAACATCCCCCCAACTTATCAATTTATTTACACTTTAAAGTTGTGCTACCTTTGAAAAGTGCACTCACACTGTTGTTGCCGGTGTGGATTCCGTCCTTGTTCTGTGTTTCCATTTTTCTCTCTTCGCCCGATTAACGCCTCGATTTCTCCAGTCATCCGAAACTGCTCTAGCCATCCTTCCTTTTGAATCTACTGCGCAATTCTAGTCACATATTTGACGTTATTTACCATAGCTTCGAAAGATCGAGTTGTCTATTTTCGGAGCAGCTCGCCTATTCCCTTTGCCCATCTTGGACAAGACATCACTGCGTGCTTTTTACCTTGAGACGGATATCCATATTGGAAGCATGGCTTTCCTACTCCTGGAACATTCCTTCTGTGTAAGTAGGCATTGTGCCCAATGTGCTCGCTTCTTACTTGTCTGGCAATGCTGCTCTGGGCCCTGCTAAGGTTTTGGTGGATTTGGATAGGTAACTCTCTACAGTTCACCACAAGTTTACCTGTTTTCTCATCGTCATACAAATTTGTAACTTTCCACTTGTCCTTACAGAGATCCTTGTGGGGAAACAAAATTTGTCCAAATGAATAGAATATGCAATCTTGAGTAACGAATCATGAACCATTTGCCGAGTACTTTCTAATGTAAATCTTGGGAGGAACTAAGAAATGAACGAGGAGCTTAGCCTCCATGACTCAAATAATTTCCTCCAAAATTACAGCAGTTTGATTTGATTTCATTTAGCCGGTTCAGGTACCCTACGGGCTCATGCAGGAATATCTAGGTATGATATTTACAGAGAAGGAAAGCAAACTCATTTAAAAGCCCCCACAACTGTCTGTCTCGTGTCTAGTTTTTTTTTCTTTTTTTTCTGGGGTTTCCCACAGGAAGTGCGATTACACTGTTCATACAGTGTGAAATCCGTCTCATCCTTTCGTCCAATGCTATCTCTACTTCTCCTGCGAGCCGGAATTGTTCAAACCAGCCTTTTGCCAGGATCCATTTTGTAATTCTCTCTTTATCATCTGGGCTTTTCATTATTGCTGCAAATGACCTGTCTTTTACCTTTCGAAGCACATCTCCTCCCATTGCCCACTGAGGACACGCCAAGACCATATGTTTGACATTTTGAGACGGATATCCACACTGGAATTTTGGATTAATCACTCCGGGGACTTTCCTTCGATATAGATGAGTTTTGAGACCAATGTGCTCACTTCTTATCTGAACTGCAATACTGCTTTGGGTCCTACTAAGGTTCCGGTGGATATCTGACGGTGTGTTTCTATGTGTAATCATTTTTCTGACTGTTGTCTCATCTGTAATAATATTTGCTGCTTTCAAATGTTCAGGGTCTGCCGAAGCTCGATGATCAGATATTATCTCGTTCCTTGGACGTGTTCATGACTTTTTCCATTCCTGGAACGCGGCTACCTTACCGGCTTCTTTTTGTATCCCTTTCGCGTTCTTCAAAATTACAGCAGTTATTATTATCATTATTATTATCATTATTATTGAATCAATTTATTGTCATGTCTGAGTCTATGACTATGTGGGACATGCGCGTCTTCAGTGCGGAGGGCCATACTGAATACCTGTACGTAGTGTCATCTACAAGCCTGGGGGTGAAATATTCTCTCAGAGTCAAGTTCAGTCAAATTCGCAATGCCGAACAAGTTGGCCTACGAGACAATATTTCAAAATACTCCACCACGTCATTTTTTCACTCCCAAAGTGATCGACTCATACCTAAGACTCATCAAGTCTACAAGTACGACCTAGTACAACTTCATTCCAATTATCACACCTCTCGCCGACTTTTTCTGGCCTCAGCCGGTCACCAAATACACGCCCACGCCGATATTTACACCCGACGGAGGAAGCAAAGCGTGGCGCAAAAATCTGGAAGACAGTTCTTTGGGATGGACGTGGGAGGAATTGGGAAAAGATGATGCCGAGGATGGATGCCGTCTCGACGGGCGTGAAGTTTCGAATATTGGCAAGGAGTCTTTACAAATTGAGCTTTGTGCGTACCAAGGCTTTGGTTGCAAGAGTGCAGGCGACACTATAAACGTCGCCATAGTTGGATAGCTTGGACACGTATCCCACTCGAGACAGGAGATTGCTGGTTCAAATCTGGCAAAATACATCCGCTTTTCTCGCAGCGCTGGTATACATAGATTACGAAGGTATGCTTGGATAACCAAAAGTTTAGAAGCGTCCCTTTGGTGGGTACTTACGGAGGAAGGTCGACTGTTTGTGTAAGCAAACATACCTCATGGTGGTACTTGCAAATGAAACCCAGAGTATGAGCGTCTCTAACGCCAGAAGAGTCATCCAAATTGTTTACATAGCACGGGTCATGTATTATAGCTATATAGCTGAACACACATTAAAGAATGAAAAAAAATTGTAGAGGGCAGTTTTATTCAATTATCTTACTATCTATCATATAAATACCTAAACATTATACAGAATTCTCGGTATGCATACAAGTGTCAGAGTCAGTATTAGTACCCTAGGTAACCTCATATCATAATATGTATCGGCAACTAACCTACATATCTCCACCTGTCAGCGTCCACTTGTATCGTAATTGATACATAGCCCATCCAACAAATGCAGCGCCTCATATTTTTTTCAGTAATATTTCTTGTTCTGAACGCTCATCACCAGTTGTGTTGGAAGTTACATCGATTGCATGATTTTGTCTTACACTTGTCTTGCTTGGGATAGACTGGTAATCTAGACATACTAACATCATGATAGTTTCGCCATATTGGGACATGGACGTATATCCTGGTTTATTTCTAGATCCGTCCCACTAGGATGAATTCCTGTATATATACCTAGCGTCTTTCTCCTTCATCAATCTTCAATTCGTAGTGTTTACTGAATATCTCTCAAGGTCATATTCATCGCTCTTCTCGTCAACTCCCACAGCTCTACTTCTAAAGCTCTGTTCAACTGCTCCTGTCATAAAACTTGTATCTATCGTAAATATACAACTCCGAATCATGTTTACGATACTCACAATAAATTGTGTTGTATGCAAATTAGCGGAACACACTATGAACCTTAAAATTGTTATGAACAACACCATTGAACATGCCACAAGGAGGGTGGAAACTATATGCTTGATTTGAATTTGAATTCATTTAACCCAATTCTGCAAGGGCCTGACCCTCAATTTCTATATGAACAAATTTTGGCATATTTCGAAATTAAATTTCGCAAATGTAACTAGAAACTTTAGTTAGATTCACGAAGTTCTCCATTGTCTTAGACTCAGTAGGGACTATAATATAAATCTTATCTAATAGACCCTAGTTTAGCCCAGCTTACTAATCAAGTCACATTTCTTCCAAGTCTCAGTGACTGACACTTCAACTGTGTCGTTGACTCATCAATAACAGAAGGCCTCATGACTAGTTAGCCAAAACCTGGGTCTTGGCGCCCACAAACATTCCAAAGTGCGAAACATCTCAAACTATCGGATCAGTTATTCCCACAAGAGGTCTCTTCCTTATCTCTTTCCACGCCCCCAGTCGCCTGTCCTTCCTCAAGATTTACAGCTCTATTAGAGCAACAGTCCCATATAAACCAAGACCCCAACTTTGTATAGTATAACTTAACTTCGCCCTTGCGGGCATGCGTAGCTTTTTAAGTATGTAGTGAGTGATTTTTAGTAAAAAATGAGGTAAGCTCGCGTTTTCAATTGGAGTTACGCCTTTATCGGTCTTTGAGGCGAGGTGGTGTGTAGAAAGGTTAAGGTGGATGTCTCTCGTGTGAATGACAAGACCGACATTGATGTGAAGTTGTTGTGATTATGAGCTTACGGTAGTCAATGGGCTGAAGCTCCTGTTTAGCATTATGCGCAGGACGTGATAACCTTGTAGTCTGCTTGTTGTGTATTGAAGACAATATTGAACAAATGAGGAGAAGAGTATTCCTACGTACAAGGTTGACGTGTGGAGGACAAATATTAACGCCTGTCAGTGGTGTCCCCTCCGAACCTCCAGCTCTTACTGTACTATTGAGGTTCTTAGCTAGCAAAATAATGTAGGGGTCACAGATGATCAAATATATCAATAAAACGTTATATGAATGTGACTGGCGGTTTACGACTGTCCGGTGCTTCACTGTCGGCGATGCTATATGCGCGATAGAAAGCTATGTAGACTTGTCGTTTTTCCTCCCCCTTCTAAACTACTACCTCGAGATCTATTTGTACTTACGACCCGTGCCTACTCGGTACCCTTAACATGCCGGCGCTCGATCCTCAGTTCATGTTCGCGCCA